TTTTTTTGGTCAGTCATGGGACTTGAACTCTGGGTCTGGGCACTGTCCCTCAGCTCTTCAGCTCAAGGCTAGCACTCTACCACTTGAGCCATAGAGCGAATTCTGGCTTTTTCTGTGTATGTGGTACTGAGGAAACAAATCCAGGGCCTCATACATGTGAGGCAAGCACTCTACCACTGAGCGACCTTTCCTGCCCTTAATAAGATTCTTACAACCTAGAACAAGACTTATGGAGGCAAAAATCTCTACTAACCAAGGAAATGATCTCTTCATCAGGTAAAATAATCAAGAATTGATTTTACCCATTTAATTTATGATCTGCCTTCTGAAACTTAAAGTCTAATAAAACAGTCAATGTTCTATTGAATTACCGATTTAAATATCACTTGGAAGAAACTGATTGAGACAAATCTATAACAGTAATGAAAGGACATCAACTATTTTTTTATCCAAAAAGAAAATCAATTCCACTTCAGGTGATTCATACAGAAAGGTTGAAAGCCAAGTATCTATTTATAAAATCTGCCAATGTAATTCATTGAACAATGGATCAATTGTTTGATTCTAAAAAATTTATTATACAAAAGAAAAATCAACATCAGAGCTGTTAAAACAAGTCTATATGCTTTTATAATTTATAATGGCATCCAGTGACAAAATTGCAATCTGAAGACTTTAAATTACATGTAAAATGAAGTAATTTATAATCTCATTAAATAATAAACAACTTCCAAAGGGTCCTGTGAATAGCTGTGGTAGAAGGCTTGCCTATTAGCACTGAGTCCTAGATATGATCATCAGCACTGATTTATTTATTTATTTATTTTATTTATTGTTGGTTGTGGGGCCTGAACTCTGGGCCTGGGAGCTGTCCCTTAGCTCAAGGTTAGCACTCTACCATTTGAGCCATAGTACCACTTCCGGCTTTTTCTGCTTATGTGGTGCTGAGGAATCGAATCCAAGGCCTCCTGCATGCAAGGCAAGCACTCTACCACTGAGCCACCTTCTCAGCCCACTGAAAAATTTCTTTTTAAAATGTAAATTTACATGAGAGAAAGAGAGAGCAAGAGAGGGAGAGTGAGAAACAGAGAGAGAGAGAGAGAGAGAGAATAAGTTCACTAAAGAGATGTTGACTGGGAAGATGGTGGAGGAGAAGCTGGAGTCTAAACAAGCTCTCTCATAGAAAGCAGTTTTAGAGTTCCAGTGAACAGTCCTAAGCCAGAGAATCACACCAAGTGTGCCATCACAGGACAGAGAGTTAGGCCAGAGAGGGAAAATCCAGGCAAGGAGACACATCTGAGCTCTTGCCAGAGAGTCCGGGATGAAGGAGCCAGACATGGTGGGTGAGCGGATTCTCCTCAACACCAGCAAGAACCGACAAGGAGCAGACATCTTCATCCTGCAGTTCCCAGACCAGAGACGACCCAGGAACCAAGACTCGGCCTGAGTAGAAGCCCAAC